CCGGTCCTGCGTCAAGGACAAGTAAATTTTTGGTCTTAACATTCTTCATTCTTCCACACATGATTAAGCGTTGCTCATGAGTGCAAGGTGAAAGTGGAAACAGCTGGATCCTGCACTGCTTTGATCACTCTCTATCTTCATTTTTTGAGGCAAGGTTTCTTAAACCCAGAGCTCATCGATTCTGGCTAGTCTAAGCTAGCCAACTTGCCCTGGGAATGCAGTCCCGTGTCTTGGCCTCTTTAGTGCGGGGATTATTGGAAGCCACCATAATTGCCCAGCTTTTGACTGAGATCTGTGGATCAGAACTCCGGTTCTCATGCTTGCACAGCAAGCTCTTTATCCGCAGACCTACCTCTTTAGACCCCTTTGCAACATTAGGTTCCCACCTGTGATCTCCATACTGCTTCTTAGCTATACATTCCTACCCTGTTCAGGCTTTATTCAAGACAGAACACAATCTCAAAGTTCTTAAAGCTCCCCTGTCCTCCAGATCCTGGAGAAACTATGTACACATTAGATTGCCAGGAGACAGAACAAGTGACCTTTGAAATGACCTTTGAAAAAAATGTATGGAGGCATACTTTACAGACTATAATTTGACAGTGGTCATTAGGTGAGGGAAATATCAGTACAGATTTATTAACTAGTATAGAGATTCCAGTAGAAATGCCTCTTTGAAAACAAAGTAAAGCACATCATCAAAGGCACAGATAAAATACTAAACTGTTTAGACAAGACTGAGCACCTTAAATGGACATACAGACTTCAGACATATAAAGATGAAATAGCAGGTCAGGGATGTATCTCGGTGGCAGAGCACTTGCCTGACATGCTTGAGGTGCTAGGTTCAGTTCCCAGCAAGGAAACTTTCAGAGTTCAGTAGGTAGAGTGCTTGCATAGCATGAAGGAAGCCCTGGGTTCAACCCTCCGTACTGCACAAACTAGACCTGCTGTAACACCAGCACTTGAGGTAGAGGCCTGAGGATCAGTAGTTCAAGGTCATTCTTGCCTACAAAGAGAGCTTGAGGCAATCAATCAATCAATCAAAAATATATGCAGCTGGGCAGTGGCGGCGCGTGCCTTTAAGCCCAGCACTTGGGAGGTGTTGAGGCAGGTGGATCTCCAACTTCGAGGTCTGCCTGGTCTACAGAATGAGTTCCAGGACAGCCAGGGCTACTCAGAAAAAGGGGGGGGGGAAGTGCCATAACAGTTGACTGCCAGCAGGTGGCACTTGACCCACAGCAAAGTATGGAGGAAAAACAAGTTCTGAAATCAAAGAATGCTACCAAGTTCCCAGGACACCGTCGGTAGATGAGTCTTTCACACAGAAAGCTGGGACTGCAGATATTTAAGGAAGAGGGCAGTAGTCTGTAACAGCGACAGTCTGTTCAGCTGTCTGTGTTGGGCAAGGAATAAGGCCCCTTCTCCCATCCCTTCTAGTGTTGTGGTCGGGCTACGAGTTAGCATAATAATTAATTAACCAGAGAAAAATCATTTTATTCATTTTCATATATACATTGGAGCCTTATTATTAACGAGACTGAGAAGCCCAGATGACGGACGATGACATAGCATCCAGAGCTACTGAATAAGGAGTTTCTGGGGAAATGGCGGAGACATGTGACGGGGACTGAGGGGAGAAAACACATGGCAAATAGCGAAAATGCCTCGAACTCCTCTCTTCCTCCTAGATACTGTTGCTGTGTGCTCTACCCTGTGGCCGAAGGGCCTGGATTTGTGTACCAACTGACTCACTGGACTTGGTCAGCTGCCCTAGGTCGACAATGAGAGAAAATGAGAAACAGGAAAGAGGAGTTTAGCAGCAGCTCAGCCTAACCAGGCAGCTAACCTGGACTTTCCCAAGGCATCTCTTACGACCCATTAAACTTAGTCAGACTTGGTCTCTCCGAGGAGCACACTATCTTATGCCAGTGTTTCCATTATTCTGGCTTTGTACACTGAATATTCGGTAGCACTAGTCTTTTTGCAGGATTTTCTAAAAGAACCCTTATATAAATTTCAAATGCAGTGATTTCTTATATCATCCCCAAGATATCAATTTTTTGATGGCAGGATTCGGTTATTTCCTTAGAATAGACTTCTAAGAATTTTGTATGAACATATTTCCCACTCTCAACACTAGTAAAGTTTTCACGAAGCCAGTTACAAAAGAACCCTGTCAGCACCTGAACAGTTTCAAATCAAAGATTGTTTTTTCAGTTGGGTGCGGGGGGGAGGGGCGTAGACTTTGCTTCAATTTCCCTACCTCCCATTACTAAAGAGAAAAACCATGTGCTTGCCACATACAGTTTAGTCAATGCTGGTTTAAGGAATGGGATCTAGGAATCTGTGCTGCGTGTATCTGGGACATTTAAACAATGTGACTGCAAAGGAGAGAAGAGCACGTGGAAACCGGATGGGCAGCTTAGGGCAGGGACCCTCGAGCAGCAGTTCCAGGAATGCCCAGATGCTGGCAGGGAGCTCTGCTTTCTTATCTCCTCTTAGTGAGTGTCCTTGCTTCCCTGTGGGTGTGAGCAGAACTCCGCAACTCTAAAGGGCTTCTGGCAGACAGCTCTGGAACTGGATCTCTGGATTTTCAGGATGGAAATATTGGATCTACCCAGTCCTTAATTTCAGCCTATCTCCTAAATGACGTCAGGGTTTCATCTTCAGAGCAGAGACTGTTGGGATATCTGGTGGAGATAAGAAACCAGAAGTTCTGGCTCTGGGAGGAGACTTAACAGTCAAAGCTACTAAAATGAAAGAGGTAATTAAAGTAAGGCCTAGAGCCCACCTTAGGCATGCTGAACAAATGGGAGGAACAATTCACACCCTCAATGAGAAGATGTACTTTTCCTTTCCATCTCAGAAATCCCACCCTCCCACCTCACTTGGGTATGGTTGCTCCTGGAGCCTTCCCTGGGTTAAGCCTGCTTGCTTTTCTGAATTACTTAGATAAGTATAACTGTTCCTTTTTCTCCCCTCCCCTCCCCCTACACACAAACATACACACACACACACACACACACAGAGAGAGAGAGAGAGAGAGAGAGAGAGAGAGAGAAGAGAAGAGAAGAGAGAGAGAATATGTATACACATATACACCCAGATGCTGGCCATAATCTAGACATGCTTCTCCTGATACTCTGGGCTTTCTCACTCTTTTTCTCTGAAGTTATTACTACCCCTGACTCCTAAGCACTGATTTCTTCCATGTGGTGGTTTACAAAAGGCATGATTTTTCTCTCTTCTTTTTTTTTTCCTGCTACCTAGCAGCTACCAAGATTTACAGCTTTCCAGCACTAACGGTTTTCTTTTAAAGACTAATTAAATTGTCATTGTCCTTGGGCTTCCTACTGAGTCTTTTTTTAAAGACAGAGTCTCACTAAGCAACTCTAGCAAGACCAGAACTAAGAGGTCTGCCTGTTTTGTCTCCTGAGCACAGGGGCCTGAGTCTCTTCTTAAATTCTTTAATTAGTGGGACTAAAACTCAAGAGGAAACCCCAATTTGCCCAGTAACATGTGACACTCCAGGTTGGGCTCCCCAAAATTTCCTAGTAACAATAGGTAGCGCCTAGCTTCTAAACTAATAAGCCTGTTCTAGGGGTGTCAAGAACACCTTGGAATTCGGACTTGACTTAAGTCAATGCCCAGAAACTAATTTACGATCACTACAGTCTGTCTGTTTCCAGACAGGATCAGCAGAAAGCTGTCTTCAGCACTTAATGAAGCGAGCACCTTCACACCTGCAGCCAGACTGACTCCACTCCAAGTACAGCCTCTGGCAGAAACACAACGGTAAGAAGTGGCAAGGTATGAAAGTGCCCCAACTCCTAGCAGGTCTTCTGCAGCAAAGGGAAACGGGAAATGACAGCGCACTTGCCAGAGCAAGCACGCTCGTGAAGCCACATGGCTCCCTTACTCCCTGTGCTCAAAGGACAGAGAAGTCCTGGATGTAGAAAATCTTGTTCTTCTTTTTTATTCTTTGGCTTTAATAAGAAAAGATCCTGTTTTAATTTTGAACTTAAAAAAAAGCTAACAAAAGCGGGCTATTCTCTTTGTTTAAGACCATGTGGAATCATTACTAAGACGTCAGTTTCCTATTGTCTAGGTAGTAGACTGTAGTTATTTAGTTTTACAAGGACTTCTTTGGCCAAGAAATCTGTCCATTTGGAAAAGAATAGTATTGCATACTACTATGCAGATTTGCACACGCTACAATTGTAGTGCCTTTCAGTCTGAAGGAATCAAATGCTGGGTCCTTTTTACTGAAGACCAAGGTCTTGGTTGGCTGCACCCCATTTGTGAAAGACAGCCGCTTTCTTTCACTCAGACGGCAGGCACACTGGTAAGTTCAAAATCCCCCTTCCCTCGCAAGTATTAAGTAACAGAGCAAATGAGATGGCAGATGCGGAAGAAGACCTTGTCGTTCTTGTCACTTTCCTCGATTCTTTTGAAGCCTTTTGTTCTATGTCTAGTCTCATCAATTAGCTACTTATTCAAACACCCATTTCTTACTTCTGTCAAGTAATGGCTCTGACATGCTCCTCTCCCAACACCTCCATGATCAACTTCTCCCGACTGCCAATCTATCTTATATACTACACATATTCCCTTAGTACCATAATTTATATTATCTTCTAACTATTCGAATTCTGTTCCTGTTCCTAGAGCCAGGTCCCCGAGACAGGGAATTTCCAAGGAATGCGTAGGTTGTCTAGCTACTTCCTTTTCCCTGTCCCTGATGAAGAACCTGGGGTCTAGGGAGGTCTGGGCAAGTTTGCAGGAAAACTAGGCATACCGCGCAGATGCCTTGACTTTCAGTTCAGTGTTTTCCACTGCATTAGGTCATTTATCTTACTTGCATCTTTTCAGAACTCCTTATAAAACGCTAGACACATTCATGGTTCCCTTGAGTATCAGTATAACAAGTGTACAGGTTTATCTAACTGAGAGATTGACCAGGGAAAGAGTAAGAAGGCAGAAAGGCATTTCCTTACTTCTTTGCGTGATGCCACCCTCCAGACCAGTTAATCGCTATTTTACACTTCCCGTCAATCAGGCACTGGGCAGCAGTGATTGTAGCTCCTCCCACAGCAGCCGCATAGTCAAATATTCCTTCTGTGGCTGGGCAGTCATAACCTGGGGGCAGAACCCAGAAAAATCTGTTAAAGAAGATCTGGGGAAGGAAGAATAGGTTAAGCTGTGTCAACAGCACAGCCTAAAGAAGGTTCTGGGCTAAAACCAGCTCCACTGGGGACAGATAAGCATCTCCAATGTTAGACAGGGAAGGCTTTCAAAGGTTAGAAATAGAAAGGGTAAAACCTTCAAGATGAACTTCTCATATCCCACCAGCAGTCCATCAAGGCCCGAGAGGTGATGTATTTTGCCAGTGGTCACACAGAGCCAGGCCTGGGACCGGGTCTTTTGATAGCCCCACCTAGTATCTTTCTTTAAGCCACACAGTTTCTCTAGAAGAGTGGTGCCTTTGACATCGCAGTATGCTGCTGTCGCCTACAAATGTGTTGGGCCCTATTCATAGCTATCGTGGGAGGCATGTGGCCCACGAGCTGCAAGCTGGACACACCTGCACTAGACCATGCTGTTGACAATTCACTGTGATTTTTTTAAGTTATCTGTTGATGAAGGATAAGGTAGGAAAATTAGCCAGAATTTAAACATTTACCTAATGCCATGCATGGTGACGCATACCTTTAATCCCAGCACTTGGAAGGCAGAGGCAGGTGAGTTCCATGCCAGCCTGGGCTTTACAGTGAGACCCTGTCTTGGAAAAATTAAAAAAAAAAACCTCAAACCAAATAAGTCAATACTTAAAATATATGATCACTACAGCCAGTGCAGCCCCAAGTGCTGCCGTTAGAATCTTAGCACTGAGCGATTCTTCTCCATCAGTCTCACGGTTCTCTTGTGTTCGACTCATAGAGTGTTCACAATATGACCAGACTGAGGGATTAAAATGAACAGTTGGGGCTTGAGATGTAGCTAAGGCAGAGTGCCTCATTAGCATATTCCAGGACCTGGGTTCCACCCTCAATAACACACACAGGCACAGACAGACAGACAGACAGACACACACACATACAGACACATGTGCACACATGCATCAGTTATATTATTTCTTAATTTAAAAGTATCGGGCCACAGAGGTGGCTAGCAGTTAAGAGCATTTTTTTACTCTTCCAGGGGACCTGGGTTCAATTCTCAGAATCCACATGGCAGTTTCCAAACATCTCTAACTTCAGGTCCAAGGGCTCTACGGCCTCTTCTGACCTCCACTGGCACTGCATGCACGTGGTACACACATACACTCAGGCACACAGGCGTACACATAAAACTTAAAGATAAAAAAGAAAAGAAACAAGTATTAAGGGTTAGGGAAGTAGCTCAGTCAGTAAGATGCCTGGCACACAAGGATGAGGGCCTGAGTTCAGATTCCTGGCATCCATGTAAAAGCCGGCACACGAGGCATGAATGTGCAACCCCAGCACTGGAGGGGTGGAGACAAGTAGATGCTTGGAGACCACTGGCCGTCCAACCTGGTCAAAATGGGTGAAGTTCAAGTTCAGTGAGAGCCTCAAAATGTAAGGTGGTGAGTGATTAAAGAAGACACCCAGAGCCAGGTGGTGGTGGCACATGCCTTTAATCCCAGCACTCAGGGGCAGAGGCAGGTGGATCTCTGTGAGTTCAAGCCCAGCCTAGTCTACAGAGGGAGGTCCAGGACAGTCAGGGCTACACAGAGAAGCCCTGTCTCAAACGAAACAAAACAAAAGACACCCAGTGCTGACCTTTGGTTCCACGTGTGTACCAGCAGACACAAGCACACTACTGCACATACACACATCCTTCTACATAAACACAGAGAGACAAATTAAGTACCATAATCTACAAGCTGGGGTCCCACTGTTGCCCGAGGGACTCTTACCTAGTCCGTATTCTATAGAGTCCGGATGGTCCTCATCACCTTCTTGGCTGACCTTTTGGAGATGTTGCAGATAGGCATCAGTGTGGAAGGTGGCCATATCCTCCATGGAGGCCACTTTGGGCTTCACTATCCTAATAATAACAGCGTGGACATACAGAAGTACATGAGACTCAGAGTATGCAAGGAGCTGGAAATAGCAGTCAATATCTGAACAGAAAAGACAACTCCCAGCTTCTGGTTCCAGTGAGCCGAAGTCATAAACACACTGTCGCTCTGCTGCACTGCCCAGCCTTCACTTCCTCCATCTATGATACTGACCCCACTAATAAGAGACAAGAAGACAGATTTTTTTCTTTTGGGTTTTTAGGTAGGAGACGATAACTGAAAAACCATATTTAACTCAAACAGATAATCTTGGTTCAAGGTCCCTGGTTTAGCCACATAGAACGCATTAACCCGGGGCCAGAAGGATGGCTCAGGGGGTAAAGGCATCTGCCATTAAGCCTGCCAACCTGAGTTTAATCCCTGGGACCCACATTGTGGAGGAGAGAACCAACTGCCCTGGCAAGTTGCCCTTTGACCTCCATGTGTGCTCTCTGGTACACACATCCCCCTAAAGAAATACGTATCATTTTTAAAAAAATTAAAAGAGCTCTGGAGCTGGAGAGATGGCTCAGGGGTTAAAAGAATTTGTTGCTTTTGCAGAGGACTGGGGTTCAGTTTCCATCTCCCACATGGTGACTTACAACCACGTGGAACTCCAGTTCGAGATCTGACCTCCATAGGTACCAGGCACACACACACACACACACACACACACACACACACACACACACACAAGCCAAGCACTCATACACATAAAATAAGTAATCATAAAACTATATGTCTAGAAGGCTGAAATATAAGCTTTACTCCGTAAGTTACATCTCATGAGAAAGCAGGAAAGCTAGTCACGTTTGAATCAGTTTCTGCTTGGACCAGGCAATTCTTTCAGTGTAGTCACTTGCTTTAGTTTTGGTGCTAAGCCTTGTCCCCTCTCCCCCACCCCGCATCCCTCTGTGACTATTTGAATAGGCAGCTGGGTTATCAAGCAGAATTTGAAGCCAGAGAACTGAATTCCTTTCCTAACTCCGTACTTACTAGTTCTGTTAACTTCAGGTGAGTTGACTGTTCTATACCTCAGCTTTCTCATCTGTAAAATGGGTCAGTTTAGTGGACTTATGTGGAGATGAAATAACATATACAAAACTTCATGGACAACTAGCATTAATATTAGAGTAAAAAGGTGGGAAACTGGACGGGGGATGCAGAGCAGTTATACAACATCTGCCTGACATGGGCAAGGCCCTACGGTTGGTGCCAAACGCTGCAGAAAAAGGTAATATGTTAGATATGGTGGCAAATGTCTGTAATCATAGCACTTGAGAGGCAGGAGAATCATGAGTGTGAGGCTAGCCTAGGCTACACAACAAGTTCTACACCAGACTGGGCTCTATAAGAGTGTCTCAAAAAAAATGAGAAGTCAAATGTAAAAAGTGTTTATTTATGGGGGGCTGTATGGGCACAAATGCAGGGGTTTTTGCAAGCCCGTGCATGCACAGAGGCCAGCAAAGGAGGCCACAATCCTGCTCTGTAACTCCCACCCTATTCCCTTGAGACAGGCTCTCTCACTGAATCTGAACTTGGAGTTAGACTGGTGATCAGCAAGCCCCAGCAATTTTTCTGACTCTTCTTTATCCCTGCCAAGACACCGGGGCTACATGGATGTGTGACACAATCCAGCTTTTCCTCTAGATTCTGAGGACTTGAACTTGGGTCCTAGTGTTTGCATAGCAAGTGCTCTTACTTTCTGTTTCATCCTTCCAGTGTCCTCAAACATAAAGTTTCTATTACTTGTTCTCTTCTCTCTGTCTCCCAAGGAAGGACAGAAGGAGCAAACGGCTAGAATCTCTCACCCTGCTCCCCACAGTGAGCAAGAAAAGGAAGAAAGGAGAGAATAAAGGAAGCAAGTTACATGGGGATTTTGGCCTCGAACCTGCTGAGTCTCCATCTTCACTTCTGGATTCTGCTGCAGTTAAGTAAGTTCTCTAACCCTTGCCAATGAATGGGTAGGTAGTGAACACACTAGCAGCATGGAGTTTCTTTCTTAGAAAAGCAAAGCTCAAGTCTGAATCTAGGCCCAATGAACCACAATTTGTATTCTAACAAGAACACACACACAGGTTTATCAAGACCGGGTTTCTCTGTGTAAGCTGTCCTGGAACTCCTTCTGTAGACCAGGCTGGCCTCGAACTCACAGAGTGTTAGGATTAAAGGTGTGCACCACTACTTCTGGCTTCATATCAATCTTAACACGATGATTGCCCATTTAAATTGAAGGAGCACCACTCTAGCCGTGTATATTCTTCAAATGAGAGTAGAGCCATGAGGTTATCGTGAACTAATACAGGTAGGATATTTAGGTAACTAGTATAACCAAGGTGTTTGAAATCCTGTCGTTCAACTTTAAAAGTTAGAGTCAAAATCAAGGATTCTTGATTTTTCTTCAAATACTCATCTATACCATGAGAGGCGAAAAAGTTGTCCATTAAAATAAAAATCTTAGGGCCAGCAAGATGGCTCAGCAGGTACAAGAACTTGCTACCAAGTCTGATGACCTGAGTTCAATCCCTGGACCCACATGGTGGAAGAGAGAATCAACTCCCGCCAAGTTGTTTTCTGACCTCTGCATATGCACTTGGCTGACCACTCCCTCACACACTCAACACCCCATCAAAATAAATAAATGCAATGTTAATAAAAATGTTTAAAATAAAAATATCAAGAAGCCTGGTGTAATGGCACATGCCTTTAATCCTAGCACTCAGGAAGCAGAGACAGGCAGATCTCTGGGAGTTCAAACAGAGCTAGTTTCGGGACAGAATATGTAAGAGGGCCAGTTTCAATTTTTTTCACAATCACAATCATATTGGATTATGTTTCCCAGCTTCTCCAAATGTTTTCTCTTACATTTATTACTTATTTCCCTGAATCCTAAAACTAAAGAATACTGTCAGCCTCTCCTGACCAGCAAGCTAACGAGTCTTGCTTTAACATCTTATTTGCAATAGAATATTTTTAAGTGTTGATTGTGTGTGTGTGCGGGGGGGGAATCTAGGCCTCAGGTATGTTAGACAAGTGTTCTATACACTGAACAATATCCCAAACCTCTTTAAAATTTTTGAGACAGATTCTGGCTAAGTCACAAAGCCTGACTTAGAATTTGTGACGCCCCTCCAGCACCACCTGGCTTAGAAAAGTGTTAAAATCCTTTAAGGAAAGGCAAATCATTATCTTGACAAACACAGGAGTTAAGCAATGGTAGAAAAACATTCCTAGCCAGAAGTGGTGACACACACCTTTTGACGGAGGCCTGTGGATCTTAATAAGTTCAAGGCCAGCCTAGTGAATGTAACAGTCCCTAGCCAGACAGAGCTACACCAGAGACCTTGTCTCAAAGCAACAGCAAAACATTCCTAAAGAATGTACACACTGTCGGGAGGTGGTGGCGCGTGCCTTTAGCTCCAGCCCTTGGGAGGGAGAGGCAGGTGGATCTCTGTGAGTTCGAGGCCAGCCTGGTCTACAAATTGACTTCCAGGAGAGCTAGGACCATTACATAGAGAAACCCTGTCTTGAAAAACCACACAATGAACGTACATATTATTTTGTTTTGTTTTTGTTTTTTTTTTTTGATTTTTGAGACAGGGTTTCTCTGTGGCTTTGGAGCCTGTCCTGGAACTAGCTCTTGTAGACCAGGCTGGTCTCGAACTCACAGAGATCCGCCTGCCTCTGCCTCCCGAGTGCTGGGATTAAAGGCGTGCGCCACCACCGCCTGGCTTATTATTATTATTAAAATGACTAATAATACTAAGGATAAAATCTAAAAACATATTACATTACTTTCTGGGAGGGAAATGAAGCATTAGATGATACAGTCACTCACCCAGTCATGAGAAAACCTGACTTGCATGTGCCACGTCCGTAAGAGTTGCATTTATGATATTATACACAGAATAGGAAATCAATGGAAAGTTGGTTTTGGTATGTTTTTGAGATGCATGTTGCTAGCTTTTAAGTTCTGGCTTGTTTTCAACAGATTGGGTGGTGTAAAGTTTGGCGATGATAGTGGAGTAGTATATCTAAAAGTCTCAAGTTGAGCCCACATCCTCAAATCCAGCTTTAGAAAACAAATAAAACCAAACCCAAAGCAAATATAAAACACACTGAACACTTCCCTGCTTAACCCCTCCCCACCCGCATCAAAAAGATCTTAGCATCTGGCAAGTGCTTATCCAGCAGCACTTTATTTATTATGGCTTCATGGGTGACAATGTTGAGAAAGGTCAACATACTTACCTCATTTGTTTGTGCAGGGCATATGCTTCGATCAGAGAGTGGACCATACTGGCCTGAAATATCAGCATGAAAAAAGAAAGACAAAACAGTCTCTTCAAGGCTCAATTTACTGAAATCCCATTAACAACATCCTGCATGAAGAACTAACTACTTTATCTCTTCTCTCTTGTCACTTTGTCAGTTGGGAAAAACTTAAGACAAAACAATACAAAGCATTAAAATCGCCAGGCTACCCAGTATACTGAACACAAGTGATGGCATACTGTCCTCCAACAGCTTGTGGTCAAGGACATCAATGAACCCAGCCTATTAGAACCTCCACTCACCACTTCACCGTTTCTTTCTCTCCCCCGCCTTCAGACCTCCCGCCCTCACCCTCGGCTCGGACGTCCCGTCGTGCTCCCCAAAGGTAACAAACCACTTCCTTCTGCCCCAGCTTGGTGTACCTGAAACGGCTAGTTAAATTTTTGTTTAAGGTATCACTCAAGTCTAGTTTTCCTGGTTTCCTAACATACTCCCTTTTACACCCTCCCACTCCCATCCCCCCAAACGGTGGTCTTTCATCCAGACCTCTTACCCGTTTGGGGATCTTGACGAGAGAGTCGCAAATGCTGACATACTCGGGACTATAAATATAAACCGGGGGCAGCGAATGCCCACTATCGGCCGGTTCCTCTGGCATCTCCATCTCCCACTTCCGACCGTCCCTGAGCCAAAGTCCGGACCCGACAGTTTGCGGACACAGCCTGGGCTCCGGTTCCTGCTCCTCTGTTCGGCCCCAGCGGTGTTCCCTGTTCAACATTCCCTCTTATTTAGATTGCCGGAGACAGTTTGCCTGGTCCCTCGCCCAGCTGAGGGAATGAATGGGCCCTCCCATACCAAATCCCTTCATTTAATGACTACAGTTCAAAAAAAGAGCTTAACAGATATAAAAGCCCAAATGGCTGCCAATTGGCATCGATTTTTTTCAAGGCACAAGCAGCAGGGTCAAAACTAACCAGCCTTGTTGCCCTACGGGGCCATTTGAAATGAGGTCAGATTAGCTTCAGCGCATGCTGGGAGATGTAGTTTGAAGAGAGTAAGATAACGGAAGAGTTACAGCTGAACACTAAAAGCTGCGATTTCAAGTTTTGGCGCTAAAAAGGAGCCTCAACTCTTTTAAGTTTTCAGTCTGTAAATACAGCCATTTAAATGTTTAGAGGTTTAAATACATTTTTAATAGCCACATAAGACCCACCACCATCCAGCTACATCAGCCGACTGTACTAAGAACAGGCTTTGAGGGGCTGTGGGATTAACTCACTGACTGGTTTGGAAATTTTACACAGCAAATTTCGTGCTGCAACTTTATTTCTACTTTTCCTCACGATCCGTTAAGAGCTAACAATTTCACCAGTAATCTACTCTGACAAATCAGCTATCCCCTTCCTGAAACTGACTGAGATTGTGAAAATTGTAAGGTAGAATTTAACCAAAGAAAAATAACAGCATCTTCCTGGATCTTTCGCGTGATGGAAAGTGCGGGATGTCGCCCCAAAATTTGGAAAACGCAGCTCCCTCCCACATTTCCTTTCATTCGCTTCTGCAGCTAAACAGTGCTTAGGGTGAATGTTTTCAGTTTGGCTTGCAGGGTGTTAGTGTGCCTTCAGGTAGTGTAGTTTTGGGTTTCTGGATGCCTCCATGATCTGAGCCTAGCTGGTCAGTTCCCAGACCCCCAACACTCACACCATCCTGAACTGACCTACTGAGGCCTCTGAAACAAGCCCACATGTGTAACTTCATTTTGTGATAGGCACTTTGGTTATTATCTTAGTGAATCCTTTCAACAGTTCTGTGAAGGAAGCTGTAATATGCTTACTTTACAGCGTATTCTGAAGAGAAAACGTCATTCTTAGCCACACACTGAAGTAGGAAAACAACCCAAAATCAGATCTACCTGACAATGAAAATCGAAATACTCCTTTTACTACATGAACTTGATTCTTCCAGGTTGACTTTGTGCTACACATGTGGTCAATAGTCCATTTATTATCTCCTTGATACATAATATTCTTGCAATCTTGGGGCATATACATGTGTTCTCCAGTTAGAATGGATCCAGTCATGCTTCCTTTGTATTCTTCCATAGGAACTAGTTCAAAGTGCGGTCATCACTCAAGTATTTTCATCAACTCTGTGAACTCAAAGATGCAATGTACTCTCAAGGAATCGGCATCATTATACAGAAAATAAGGGAACTATAAAAGAAACCATGTCAATACAGGTCCAGATAATGAATGTAAGGTGCTTAATTTACCTAACAAAATAAGCATTAAGAGCCGGGCGGTGGTGGTACACGCCTTTAATCCCAGCAGAGGCAGGCAGATCTCTGTGAGTTCAAGGCCAGCCTGGTCTACAAGAGCTAGTTCCAGGACAGGAACCAAAAGCTACGGAGAAACCATGTCTCGAAAAATAAAAAAAAAGGCATTAAGTACTTAAATAATGAGTATTCAATAAATGGTTAAGCAGCGTTCTTAGTAGCATTTGAGACAATCTCAGTGAATGTACAATATTGTGCTTGGTGAGGATGGGACGCCATGCTGACTGGAAGGAACAGCTTACATAAAAATACAAAGAACTGGGGCTGGAGAGATGTCTCAGCAGTTAAGAGCGCTGGCTGCCTTTCCAGGGGACCCTGGTTCAATTCCCAGCACCCACCCTCCCAGCAGTTCACAGCTGTCTGTACATTCAGTTCCAGGAGATGCAACACCCTCACACAGACATGCATGCAGGCAAAACACCAATGCACATAAAACAAATTTTTTTTTAAATACAAATAAAGTGTGACAGGCAAGATGATTCAGTGGATAAAGCAGAACTCTATTTTAGCAGAACAGACCAGATCAGAAAAGGCTTCAAGTATTAGAGTAACAAACACACTCCATTTTCTTGGAAAGGTGGGGGGCATTTTTGTAATGCTGAGGATGAAAGAGCTCTGTGTCTGCCAGGAAAGTGTGCTAGACCCCGAGTCCTTAGAATCTTCAGAAAAAATTCTACAACAGCAGTGTGTATGAAAATTGTTTATTTGAAAGACTGGCACGTCCAGATAAGGAGTAGTCACCGATTTAAGCTAGGGAGGCAGCAGTGGGAAGAGATAGGGAGCTGCAGTGCATAGGGAGGGAGCTCAACAGGACTTTCTGGCTACTTGGATCATGGGGGAAAGGGAGGGGGATGAAACCTGGAAAAGTGGAAGATCTGGGGAGAAGAAATCAGGGCCTTCATTCCGTGGAAGAGTGTGTGCTTAATCTGTGCAGCACCAAAAAGAAAAAGGGCCATAAGGAAGAAGAAATGAAAAGGTGGGGCAGGATGGACTTTGGAGTATACGGAAGAAATGCTAAAAAGTGTTAAATCTCATAAAGCAATGTGTCACCTGGCTGTGGTGGCACACGACTTTAATCCCAGCACCAGGGGCAGAAGCAGGCAGATCTCTGTGAGGGCAAGGCTGGCCTGGTCTACTGGTTTATGTGTCAAGACCCTGTCTCAGACACCACACACACACACACACACACACACTTCCATATAAAAAATAAAGATGAGCCAGGCGATGGTGGCGCGCGCCTTTAATCTCAGCACTTGGGAGGTAGAAGCAGGCAGATCTCTGTGAGTTCGAGCCCAGTCTGGTCTAGAGAGTGAGTTCCAGGACAGCCAGGACTGTTACACAGAGAAACCCTGTGTCAAAAAATAAAAAATATTAAGAAGTTATGAGTGGCTAAAGTAGCCAGGGTAATATGAATGAAACAGTTGGATATAACATAACTTCTGGATATAACTTTAATGTTTTCAAAACTAAACTTCTATTCCCTTTTTACACCCTTTCCCCATTTTTACACCTGTCCCTATTGCACAAGCCAGAAACCTAAGAGCTATTTCTGTGCCTTTCCATTCCTTCAGCTGCAGATCCAATCCATCAGCAATTTCAATCAGCTCCATCTCCAAGACAACCTTAAAGGCACCTGCCTCTCCCACAGTTCCTACCCCAGACTGGCAACCATTACCTCTGGTCTGAACTTACATAACTATATATCTGATTTTTTCCTTCTACGTGTGTGTGTGTGTGTGTGTGTGTGCAAGGTTGTTGCGTAAAAGTTTCCTCTGAGATGGAAACATTCTATCCTGCAGGGAAGTTCCTTAAGACAAAAAGCAAGCAACTCAAAATGATTCAGGTACTCCCTGAAACTGACCAGATCAATTTCCTGCCCACTCCCCAAGAGTAAACACTGCTGAGTCTCCGACAAGCCAAGTTTCTTGAAAGTAGCAGAGACCAGCCCAATTGCCTAGATGAATCAAAGACCAGTAGAGCGGCCTGGAAGAGGCTTGGGCCTGCTGATGCTCCTGGTAGGACACTCTGCAACTTGTGTGCTCCAGATTTTCAGCAGCTTTTGTGAGCTGTTACCCATGATGGGGTAGACTTTGCTGATGATGCAGCTTTCTTTGAGTCATTTCTACTCCTGTAAGTAACCTCAAAAACCTCGATGGCTCCCAAAGTTGGACTTTGGTGGTATCCATACTTTGGTCTGCTGTAGGCTCCCTATCTGGGGTGAGTAGACTGTGTGTTGTCTTCCCAGGAAAAGTATCACGCGGCGGGGCTGTGTCCCCAGCACCCCGGCCGCCTGGCTAGCTTATACCCCGAAATAATTACACGGACACTGTATTCTTTTAAACACTGCTTGGCCCATTTCTATCTAGCCTCTTCTGGGCTAACTCTTGCACCTGGACTAGCCCATTTCTAATAATGTGCTGTAGCCCACGAGGTGGCTTACCGGGGAGATTCTAGCCTATGTCCATCCTGGGTCGGAGCTTCATGCATCTGCCTCAGAGAGCAGAGCTATCGCCTCTGTCCGGGAGAGGGGAGCATGGCGTCTCTGTCAGGTGTCTGCCCCCAAGAGGAGAGCTGTCGAGTCTGAGCTCACTTCCTCTTCTTCCCAGCGTTCTGTTCTGTTTACTCCTCCCACCTATGTTTTAACCTATGAGGCCAAGCAGTTTCTTTATTACTTAACCAATGACCTTCCTCCATCAAAGGGTGCATGTGCATACCTTCGGGTATGACTTCTCAGGGGTTTTCTTGTTTTTGGAGACATAGTCTCTACTGGCCTGGAACCTGAGTAGTCTATGCTGGTTTGGTGGCAATTCCCCAAGATCCGCATCCCCATCCCCAGCAGTGCAACTGTGAATTGTGTGTGTCACTGTGCCTAGTTTTTTAAATGTGAGTCTGAGGTTGAATTCAGGCACAACGAGCACTTTACTGACTGAACTGTGTCTCAGTCCTCTTCTGGTCTTACTGCCCAGCGACCTATTAGATGCAGCAGCAGAGACATTTTCTTTTTAAAAAAATTAAAAAGTAAACTGGGACTGGAAGATTAACTCCATCAGTAAAGTATCTGCTGTACATTCATGGTGACCTGAGCTCAGATCCCCAGCGCCCACAGAAAAGTTGGCTGCCTGCCATCTAGGTGCCGAAGGCAGAAGCAGGCTGATCTCCTCGAGGGCGGGGTTGGTGAGAGAGCTTGTCTCTAAAAATGGTGGAGAGTGATTGAAACAGACACCTGCCATTGCTCTCTGGCCTCCATCCATGCATATGTGTGCAAACACCTCCCCCACCAGAGCGGGGAGAAGAGAGGGAGAAAGGGGATGTCATTAAGACCTGTCCCATACCAGGCTGAGGATCTTCAAGTCCACAATTGCTTTTAGGAAGAGAGAGAAGAGCACACAGTTCGCACAC